TTTTAACTTTTTTTTTGAGACAGGGTCTCTTACTATGTACTGAGACTGACCTGGAACTCACTGTGTAGCTCAGGCTGGTCTCAAACTCACAGAGATCCTCCTGCCTCAGCCTCCCGAGTGCTGGGATTACAAGTATGCACCACCACACCCAGCCACAGCAAGAGACATTTTTAAGAGCAGTGGTCCTTTTTAAACATTAGCTGGCATCCGTGCTTTTTGGAGGGAGCAGGAAGAACAGCCCTGTGCTGTCACCACATAGGTAGCACAGCCCTGCCATGCGTGTTCTCCATGGTCAGTGACACGCAGCAGTGGTCCCAAAACCTAAAGGCTCAAAAGCAGAAGGAGAAGCAAGGCACCAGCCCCGGCCTAGCTGTGTGCCTCTCAGCCTGCTGGCCCCGAGCTCTGCTGCAAATGCAGGTTCTTCCTGGAGTGGAAACCCTGTGGGTCTGGCCTCCCTGTGAAAAGTCGACTGGGGCCTTAATGGGGCCACCACATAGCACTGCAAGGGAGCCATCTTTGTTCTGAGGTGAAGCACCTGTGTTCCTTCTGCTGCGGTGGCTCCGGCAGGGCCTCTCAGGGGCAGCTGCTGCCTGGGGCTCAGCATGGCGCAGTGCAGGAGGCCTCTGGGCCGTGGCGGGTGGTGGGGTCTCTCTGGGACCCTCTCGGTGCAGCGGTCTCAGTTTCCTCCTGTGGGAAGTGGGACCTTTAGCACCATGGCTCTGGGGTCCGTGTGAGGGCCGGGCTGCACCGGTCGGACAGCAGAGCTGGGCACGGCTGTGGAGAGACATGGGGACGACGGGGGCGGCCCCTCTGCCTCACCCAGGCCCCACATGCGTCCTCCGGCCCTCTCCCTGCCGTCCGCACACTGGGAGCCTCGCAGGTGGGTACAGCAGGGCCTCGTCAGCGGGTTCTCACTGGTTTTTGCCTTTCTGCACCTTTGGTCTGGAAGCGTGTCATAGACAGCCAGGCGGAGAAGCTGAAGGAGCTGGACAAGGAGATCCGACCCTTCCGGCAGAACTGGGAGGAAGCAGACAGCATGAAGAGCAGCGTGGAGTCCCTGCAGAACCGCGTGACCGAGCTGGAGAGCGTAGACAAGAGTGCGGGGCAGGCAGCAAGGAACACAGGTGGGCGGCCGGGGGAGGGGCTGGGGTTGCTGAGCAGGATTAGGGTGGAAGGCAGGGTTATTGGTGCCCAGGGCTGGATTAAACAGGCAGAGGAGTGGGGCAGGGGCAGCCTTGCCTCTGAGTGTGGATGTCCTTGTGGGTGTCGGCTGGGGTGTAGGGGACCTTGGGCAGTGAGTGACCATGCAGTGGTCACCAGGGGCAAGGGAGGAGGTGTAGAGGCCTGGAGCGGCCACCTCCTGCAGCAGGTGTGGGCCTGCACAGTTCCCCACACCTGCATCTGGAATGGAGCAGCCCCACGGTTTCCTGTGGCTGTGGATGGGGGCGCAGGTACAGATGGCATTGCTGACCTCTGCTGCCGGCCTCACCACCAGTCTCCCCTCGCTGTGCTAGGCTTGCTGGAGTCCCAGCTGAGCCGGCATGACCAGATGCTGAGTGTCCACGACATCCGCCTTGCCGACATGGACCTGCGCTTCCAGGTCCTGGAGACCGCCAGCTACAACGGTGTGCTCATCTGGAAGATCCGCGACTACAAGCGCCGGAAGCAGGAGGCCGTCATGGGGAAGACCCTGTCCCTCTACAGCCAGCCTTTCTACACTGGCTACTTTGGCTACAAGATGTGCGCCAGGGTCTACCTGAACGGGGACGGGATGGGGAAGGGGACGCACTTGTCGCTGTTTTTTGTCATCATGCGCGGAGAGTATGATGCCCTGCTGCCCTGGCCGTTTAAGCAGAAGGTGACGCTCATGCTGATGGATCAGGGCTCCTCCCGGCGCCACCTGGGAGACGCGTTCAAGCCCGACCCCAACAGCAGCAGCTTCAAGAAGCCCACTGGAGAGATGAACATCGCCTCCGGCTGCCCTGTCTTTGTGGCCCAGACTGTTCTAGAAAATGGGACATATATTAAAGATGATACAATTTTTATTAAAGTCATAGTGGATACTTCGGATCTGCCTGACCCTTGAGAAGTCGGCAGGTGGTGGATTCAGTAGAAGGTAACTCCTCTGGGGGTGGAACCGGTCTGTCTTCACTGAGGTCCTCACGTGCAGAAAGGACCTTGTGGAGCGGAGGTGGCAGCAGGAGGCAGATGGCGGCCGGCGGGAGGAGCCCGCGCGGAACTCCCCCCGACACGTCCTCCCCATAGACTAGCCGCCCTTCTCTCTGAAGAATTATTTATCCTTTGACAAGATAAATACTGCTGTCAGAGAAGTTTTCCATTTTCGTTTTTAAAGATCTAGTTAATCAAGGTGGAAAACATATATGCTAAGCAAAAGAAACATGATTTTTCTTCCGTAAACTTGAACACCAGACACAGAACACACGGGGATAGCTGGACTCGTCAGCATGTTAAGTAAAAGGGTAACTCATGAAATAATAATGCAGTTCTGATACAGTCATTCTACAATCCAAGAGTGCAATCTTGTTCCAAATATAGTATATTGTCTATTTTTAAGGCCTCATCTGGTCTCTGTTTTAATAATTTGTTTGTCAGAAGATCCTGAAGTACACCTAGGTCTTTTTTTGGAAGTATCTAAATTGAGAAGTCATTTTTTAATTTAAAGTTCTACCAATAATTGTTACTGCAAACATTTTACTTTAAAACATTGATAGACTGATATTTCTTGGAAGAAAATGTAAACTATCAACACTGGTTATCACTTGTGATAGGAAAGAGAATTCAACTTGTTGTTATTTCTCGTTAGAAATGTAAACCTTCAATATCTGTCGTAGTTAATGACACTACTTCAAAATTATTATGAAAGGAACATTGCTCATGGATGCTGTGCATCATTTTCAGATTTATAGTTGTTTTCACCCTAAAATAGGGCATTAGTTGAACTTTGGAGTTCTAAACAAAATCCTGTAGGTTTTTTAAATTCTGCCCCATGTCCAGACGAGCTCTCCACAGCTGACAGCAATGACCTCGCCCCAGGGCGGCCGGAGCCCGCGGTGTCCCCATCTGTCATGCGCTGCGTGCTGCTGCGATCTCCGGAAGTGACGTCCTGCATAGAGAAGGTGGCATACGGTACTCGTGCCTTAGACGTGACATGCTGCTTCTTGACCCTGGGTTTGTGTTCGATGGCATCCTAGAAAGCGCTAGCCGAACCAGACTTTCTCTCTGCCGCTAAATCTGTGTCTCTGCGAGGCCCTCACAGCTCCGACCCTGCGGGCGGGCGGAAGCCAGGCTCCATCAGCAGCTTCCGGAGCCTCCAGGGCTTCCGCAGAATCCCGGTTTCCAAGGTTTCCAAACTCCAGGCGCAGAGCCAGCTCTGCCCACCCGAGGGAGGTGTTGCGAGCAGAAGCTACGCGCCCCCAGCCCTAAGTCCCCACCGGCGCCCACGCAACTCTGGGCAGAGTCCACTGAGCCCCGAGACCACTGGTTGGGGCTGCCCGGCCAAGCCTGGGGGCCCCACGGCCCTGGGCCCACCCGGTGGCACTCAGCACTGTTTACGCCTCAAGCCCAACTGTGAGGAGCCTGGAGCCTGGAGCCCCGCCCCTGCGCCCCTTCCGCTATGCAGCACGCTTCACGGTGCTCTTACACTGATGGGTGCTACACGCGACGGGTGCTTCTTAGGCAAAGCCAGTGTGTGCGAACCACCACATCTGTGCCCCTCTCCCAAGGCGCGCCCACGATTGGCCAGCTGGGCGCGTCAGACTGCCTGCCTCTTGGCTCCCTAGGGTCGTGCGGGGTCTGCTGGGTGGGTGCCCAGTGGCCCACCTTGTCTCTGGTGCTGCCGCCTGTCCTGGGTGTGCCTTTGCCCCAGTGCCTGCTGGACGTGCCCTCTGCTCGCGCGCCTGTCCCCGCTTCCCTGCACCTCACGCCCTTCCACATTGCATGGCTCTGAGCTCCATCGCTGCTACCACGGCTGCCCCCACTGCTGTCCCGGGGTCCTCAGCTCTCTCCGCTGAAGTACGGCGGTCCCTGCTGAGAAGGAAGAACTTCTTGTGAGAGCTGTCCTTGTTTGTCTGCAGCCCCTCCAGGCCTGTCCCTTAGGTTCTGCTTGAGGCCTGGAGGAGGCATAGCCCCTGGCAGTGCCCACCTGGCCCCTGGTGTCCCAGCTACTCCAACCCTGGCAGATGCTGCCCAGGACAGCTGGCTGAGGGCCCCTTCCCACTAAGCCCCGAGACCCACCCAGAGCCGTCCTGGGCGGCCGTCCGGCCTCCCTGTCCTCAGGGTACTGTCCCTGGGGCGAGGGTGGTGTGGCCTCTGGGAACTGGTGCTGGAGAGTGGGCCAGCGTGCTCTGCAGGGACACTGTCCTGCCCGGGTGCCCACGCCCCCCCTAGGTGCTCCTGCCCAGCGGCCTCGGCTGTAACCCCCCGGCCAGCCCCCGGCCCCCGTCCTCGATCCACAGGGTCCCAGCCCAGGAGCACCAGGTGGCCACACAGTGTGTGTCCAGTGTGCGCTTCTCATTTACCAAAAGTGACAACATTCCTGGGGACACAGTTGTCCTTTGTGCTGTGGCCTTGGTCTGGGCAGCTGCTTCCTGCGTCTGCGACACTGCCATTGTGGCCGCCCTGTGCTGCAGGCGATGGCACAGGCTGGAGGCCTGGTTTTCTGGTTCCAGGGCTTTTAAAGCAGGCATGAGCATTGCCAGAAATCAGGGCATCTGTGCCATCGAGGCCGGGCTGTGGTGGGGGGCTGGGGTCCTGGGGCCCAGAGTGGGCTCAGGAGCTGGGTGACACCACAGAGGCCTGTGGGAGGAGCAGCGTCATGAGGCTCGGGGCCTGGCTGAGCTGAACATGCGGTGTCACTCCCATGTAGGTGGCCGGGGCTGTTGCGAGGGCTGCATCCCGGTCCAGGGCAGCCCCTGCTGCACGGTGCCTGCCACGTAGCCTGTGACATGTGTCGACAGGCTGCTGGTAGGTACATTTCCTTGGCTGTCTTCCCACCTCTCCTCTCTGCTCAGTCTGTCCCTTCCTCGGCCTGTGGCCCTGAGGAGCTGTAGGGACTGTGCTGTGGCTCTATAGTCTGCAGACCCCAGGGAGGACGTTGATGCCAGGCACAGCCTGTGGGGACGCCGCTGCCCCACAGACATTCAGTCTGTCCTGCCTGCGTTGCCTCGCGGCTGCTGATGGGTGATTCCCCTGGAGGAGAGGGTGTGGGAAAGCCCCGGAGCAGCAGGGCATCCTGAGGGACTCAGGATGGCCCCGAGCTAGGTGACTGACCCCAGCGTCAGCCGTGCCTCTCTGCCCAGCTCCTCGAGCAGCGGGCTCACCATGGCCCTGCTGACGCTGCACCCCAGCAGGTGCTCGGGACCATGGGCTGGTCAGAACACAGCCTCCCAGGGAGCCCTCGCCGTCCCTCGACACCTGTCCCTCTCCCTGAGGTAATGAGCACACCGGGACAGGCATAGCTGCTGCCTTGGATGCTGTTTTTTGCTTCCGGTATAGATCTGTGTGGACGAGGCTGCAGGAGACCGGGGTTCTAGGCACTCCTGTGTGTGTCACTTGTGTGGGTGAGGGTCGCGCCAGTCTGCTTCTCAGCCCCAGACCATGGTTGTCTTCTGTTTGCAAATCTCCGTAACTTTCTCCAAAGTCGATGTGCCCCGTGGGTCCGGGTCAGGCAAGGTTGGTGGCAGCAGGTGACCTGGTCAGTGGTGGTCTCATCCCAGCTGGCGCTGACTAGTGGACACCATGGGACCCAGGGTTCCCCTTGCCCACTATGCCCTGAATGCCACCACCAGGCAGGGAAGGCAGCACAGTACCCAGTGTCTGCCCTGAGTGCTAAGGGGAAAGTCCAGGGTGCTGTGCCACTCCCATAACCAGGGTGACCGGTTTGAAGCTCAGTCCCCTTAGACAAGTTACTGCACTCAGTAAATTAATTGGAAAACACAAAAGCCGACTTACTCCAAGGGTTTCCCTGATTCCCTCCATCTCTAGGGCCTCTGTGATCTACCGCGGACGTGTGTGTGCACGGAGATGAGCTAGGCCAGCTCTAGGTTTGCGTTCTTTCCCTGGTAGTCCGTTCGCCTCTTGTGTTCAGTTCTATACCCAAACAAAGACCAAAGAAGGCCAGTCTCATCCGACTATTTCAATCTGCCTGTTTTACCAATTGCCGTCTGTAGTGACTGCTCGCTGTGCGGCCCCATCTTGATTCCAAGTGATGGTGACCAGTGACTGGCATCCGTGTTCCTCTGCTCTTCTAAGAAAAGGACAGTGTGAGTTATTGCTCAGCAATAATTCTGTCACTCCGGGGTTAGCACCGTGTCTGATCTCCTGATAGCATTATTATGTTTTCTGTTCTGTTTACTGTATATTGTGTGTGGTTTTATTTGGTATTTATTTGTGTTTTGAGGTCTTGGGATGTTTTTGTGTTTTTGATGCTAATATCTGAAGTTTGTAAGACTGTAGAATGCCAAACTTGGAAATGCTAAACTGTTATTAGAGAAAAATAAACCTGATTAAGAGCCCTGGTTCCTTCTAACCCTGTCTTCGCTGCCGGGCTGGGGTGAGGCTCCTGGCAGTCTGCTGCTTGTGTGGCCCATACCTGGCCATCCCTGGGATGCTGTGTGAGTCCAACCCAGGGCCCACGGATTGGGACAGCTTAGAGCTTGGAAGCACCTGGGCCGTCTCCAGACTGGGGCTGCTGGGGGCCTCACCCTCTTGAAGGTTGGGACAGCTCAGCCACCATCCTTGGGCCTTGGAGTCCCTGCAGTGCGGAGGGTCAGGCCCTGCAGTGAGGACCCTGCCCCAGCCCAGGTCGGCCTCTGTGCTGGGCCAGCAGGAAGCCCCACATTTCATCCGATGCTCACAGGTTAGAAGTAGGGGGACCCTCGGCCCCACCTGCGGCTCCCATATAGCACCCATCTGCCTCAGCTCACCTCCAAGGCACAGTGCAGCCCCAGGGTCTTTGGCCAGGCCTCGCCTGAGGCACAGGCCCAGCTCCCCTCCATACACAGCTGTACCACCCTGAGTCCAGGGCCCATCTGCTGACTGCCCTGCCTCCCACAGGGCCACTCGCACTCACACCTGGCCCGCCAGAATCCAGATGCTGACTGCTGCCTCCTCCAGAGTTTTTTCCCTGCGCAGAGCAGGAGAGGAGACAGGTGGTCACCCCAAGACTGGCTGCTCTTGTGTCAGGCAAAGGCCTGGGCACAGCCACTCCTCCCGGGGCACAGAGGCTGCTGGGGTGGGGTCAGCTCTGGCCTGACGTAGCTGGGTGTCGAGGTCAAGGCTGTTGTCTGGTAATTCTGGGCTCCCCCAGCTCAGTGCAGCAAGGACAGTGCCCTTCTGACCCTCGACTCATGCTGGGAGAGCCAGGAGCTCACTGCTGGGGCAGGGACTGTGCTACTGGGTGCTGGACCAGAAGTGCCACTACACTTGGCCACATGGTATGTGCTCTGCAGGGCCCACTTGAAATATGTGACCAGGCTGGAGGAGGGAGGCAGGGACTGGTGGAGCCTGGGGCCCCACTCACCCTGGGAAAATGGCAGCTCATGGCAACACTGGCTGCTCACCCACTCCCTGAGATGCTGCCGCAGCAGCTCCCAGACCATGGACTTAAGAAAGGACCTGGGAGAGCCAGGGTGCTGTGCCTGCCACCTGCCCATGCCCTCCCTCCAGCAGCTGCAGCAGCCTGCCCAGCTCCAACACAGGCTCCTAGGCGGTGCAGGTCCCCTAGAGGGGCCAAGGGATGGAGAAGTGTGGCCCTCGGTGTGCGCCCCTCTGTTGGGATGGAGGGCAGAGCAGGCCCTCGGCGGATGGGAACCACCCCACAGGGTCCGGCCTGCTGGCAGGGTGGCTGGGCCTCCATTCCGGGCCTGAGCACTGGCCTAACCGGACCAACAAAGGATCTTGTCTGCTAGTGGGCACGGGGCTGAGCACACCGTGGTCCCATCTCCCCGCTGGGGCTTGGGGCCCAGCTGAGGGGGGGAGGGGAGGAGGGTTGCCGGGAACCCTGGTGCTGATGGTCCTGTGGGAGGACCTTGCCACCCTCATGAGGGCACAGGAGCTGCTCTGCACCACCGTGCCCAGCTCCTGACATCGTCCTCAGCCAAGTGGCCTTGTCTCCTGCACTCCATCCAGCCAGCCGTCCAGGACTGCACCCGCCCTAGCCCCAAGTCCTCCTCTCCCCTCATCCTTGATGCTTGAGAAGGCGCCACCCTGCTGCCTGAGCGCATGCCCGCTCTCTCGCATTCGGCCTCCAGGGCTCTCCCCGCCCGCTGCAGAGCCTGCACCTTGGGTGAGCCAGGGTGACCACTGGCACATGGCGAGCTGGGCACAGGAGCTGGTGGTAAACCCTGCCACCCAGCCAGCCCAGGATGGGGTTCTGGGGGACCAAGCTGCGGCAGCACAGTGAGACTAAGCCCCGTCCAGCCCACACAAACAGCCAGGCCAGGCGCATTCCTAGATGGTGAGTGCCTGGGCCCTCAGAGTGCCCCTTCCAGGACAGGGACCCAATGCAGCACCGCCGGCAGCCAGCTCAGCCCCTCCCCAATGCCACCTTCAGTCTTCCCAGAAGCCTCACAGGCTGCCCAGGGCCCTCTCTGGCCTCCACATCTCTGGGCAGGGCCCGGTGGGGGCCAGTGAGGGCACAGTAGGGCACTATGCAGAGCCCAGTCCACGATACTGCTTCTTGTAACCAGATGCACACAGGATGCTGCCCCCAGTGCCCTGAGCTCCTGGACGGTGCTTCCTGTGGGCCAGAAGGGCCTAAGCTCCAGGACCACCCTGGGCCACCTTCCCAGCCCAGCAGGCAGGTGGTACAGCAGGAACAGCAGGCGCCCTGCCTGAAGGCGGGAGCTGGGCCCCCTGTCCCTGTCCCAAGATCACAGCCCTGCTCTAAGAGGCCATAGCCAGGGGCTCCCAGCAGGGAGAGTGCAGACACAGTAAATAGCCCGCTCTACTCCTCCCATATGCCTTGTGCCTGTGACTGACACCCTGGCCATCACAGACCCGTCCCTCCTCATCCCTGCTGCCCCACCACAAGCGCAGCCCCTGCCCCATCCCAAATTCCTTCGGTCCACATCCGGGCGGGGCAGGCAGGGAGGGGTCAGGGTTCCCGCCCACCGCCTCCAAGGGAGGTGAATGTGTAACTGGCCCAGCCCTGCAGCTCCAGTCTGGGGCAAAGTCTCATTGCTGTGGGACAGGCCTGGAGAGATGGTGTTGACGGGGTCGCTGGGCCGGACACTGCTGTGGCTGCAGCTCTGTGGTAAGTGGGCACAGGCATGGTGAGGGTCCCCATAGCAAGGTCATGGTCCCTGGGCCTGGGGAGCAGCCCAGCCCTTGGCAGCAGCACCCACCACCCAGCCTGCCAGTGTCTGAGGGGCCGGCAGCCTGCCTCAGTGTCTCCTCCTCCAAGGTCCGGGCAGAACCCATCCCCTTGCCCCGACCCAGTGTGTCCTAGGTGCCCCCATACCCAAGAGGCTTAAAGTCTGCCACTGAGTTCTGTCCCCGGCCCCTGGGGGCTCCCGAACCCGCTGCCCCATCCTATCTGTCACTGACTAAGCAACAAGGCCTCGCTGTAGAGGGGCATGCTGGGGGTCTGGGCAGGTGTCCTGTAGGCAGGCACACTGGAGTGGGCTCTGCAGAAAGGTAGGAGTGCAGAGCGTGGGAGCAGGGCTTGGTGGGGCCTGGCTGGCAATGTGGGGGCAGGGACAGCAGGGGCAGTGTCCAGGCCTCCTGCCCTTCCCTAGTGCTGGCCCAGGCCTCCTACAAACTCTGGGTCCCAGATACCAACTTCGACACTGACACCAACTGGAGCCAGAACCGGACCCCGTGTGCAGGAGACTCCATCCAGCTCCCAGCAGACAAGGTGCCTCAGAGCTGGGGCGGGAGGGCTGTGTGGGCAGGTGGGGTTGTGGGCCACCTGGCGATGACCACCTCCTCCTGCAGATGGTGTCAGTCCTGGTTCGTGGGAGCCACGCTATCGCTGACCTGGTGAGGCTGGGGTGGGGCTGGGACACGTGGCTTGGCCCCTAGGGCCTCTGCTGAGGAGCTGGGAGTTGGGGCAGAACGAGGGCCGTGGTGTCCTCATCTGTCCTGTTAGGGAGAATGCCACACTCCTGTGCTGAAAGCACATTCCCACCACATGGAAGAAATTCAGTTCTACTGCCAAAGCCAGCAGGGTCTCACTATGTGGTCCAAGCTGGACTTGAACACGTGGTAATCCTCCCGCCTCAGCCTTCCAAGTATGACACATGCCTGACTTAAAGGTAGCAGTTTTTTTGTTTTTTTTTTTTTTGGTACTGGGAATTGGGGATTGAACTCAGGCCCTTGTGCTTATGAGGCAAGCAGTGAAACCACTGAGCTAAATCCCCAGCCCCAAAGGTAGCAGATTTTAAGAGACATGTTTCACCCTATGTGGATAGAGATGAGCTCCCCTGGGGACATTGTGACTATTGGAAGGCTCCTGAGGTCCAGTTCTCCCAAATTTCCATCCTCCTGACCCGGTCCTGGGGACAAGGTCACATTGGCCGCTTCTCAGGGCACTGGGTTTGCCTGTCCCGCTGCAATGGTTTTGCTGGTCTGGGCTCTCCACTGCCACCTTCTGGACATCATCAAACATCGCTGTTCCTCGTCCCTGCCCTTAGGCTGGAGCCCTGCTTGACATGGTTCATTTTTAAAATTCAATTTAAATTGAACAAGGTTTTTGTTTTGTGATACTGCGGATTGAACCTAGGTTCTCGGCACTGACTACATCACCAGAGCTTTTTGTTTTTATTTCCCGACAGGGTCTTGAAAGTCGCTAAGCTGCCCAGGGTGCTGGCACCACAGAATATGGCCTCGGTGCTTGGCTACTGAGTAGCATTTGAAAGATACATTCTCAGCTCTGCTTAGCTCCTGTTTTATTTAGAAGTTTTGCATTTGCATTCATGTGATTTTTCTAATCTTGTATTGCCCCTCATCTGGCTTTCTTTTTCTTTCTTTTTTTTTTCTTTTTTTCCTGTAATGCAGATTGAACCCAGGGCTTTTTGCACTGAGCTATATCCCCAAGCCTTTAAAAAAAAGATTTTTCTTTTGAAACAGGGTCTCACTAAGTCATTTAAATTGCCTAAGCTGGGCTCAAACTCATGACTGTCCTGCCTCAGCCACCCAGAGTGCTGGGTTTACATGTGTGCGCCACCACACCTAATTTACATGCATTGTTCTTGCTTAAAACCCTGAATCTGAATTTTCCCCCTTCTTGAATGATCCATTCTTTCTGAAACTTCAGAATGTGGTCTCTGGTATAAAACATTGCCTTGTAGAAACTTGTGTGTTCCCAGTTCCTCTTCCTGTGCTCAGTTCTTGCTGTGGGTGATAATCCTGTAATCCTAGCACTCTGGGAGTCTGAGGTAGGAGGATCACAAGTTTGATTCCAGCCTGGGCAACTCAGCAATTTAGCAAGACCCCGTCTCCAAATAAAAAAACAAAAAGGGCTGGGCATGCGGCTCAGGAGGCCCTGGGTTCCATCCCGGTACAGCCAAACAGACCCATCCTTGCTCAGGGCTGCTCTCGCGGGGCCTCCGGGTGCCCTGGGTGCTGCTGTGCTTACAAGCCATCCTCGTGGCCCGCACCTGCGTCTGCGACGGCTGCCGTGGGCCCTTGTGACCCGTGCTGCGCCCCCAGCGTGGTACAGTGTCCCTGACGACGCTGACCTCTCCCGACCTCTCAGGTGGGCGGCACAGCCTCCACCCAAGGGACCAGGGTGGAAGCGGGGGCCTGGGGCACCTCCTCGCGCGCTCCAGCAACCCTGGCCCCAGTAGCAGCGAGACCTAGGAGCCAGGTGACAGCCAGGGGGGCGACAGTGTGTGCCAGCGTCACCGCTGCCCAGTCTCACAGCCCAAGGCTCTGACCCAGCGCTAACACAGAGCTGGGGACCCGAGCTGTTCCCGCCCAAGCCCTGGCAAGGCTGAGCCGGGCTGTGCCACACAGCCTGACCTCATCTGGCCGACTCCCTGGCCTCGGGCTCGGACCCCAGAGCGCAGGTCGGCCTCTTCCTCACCCCCGCCCCCCACAGCTCCTGCCGCTGGATGGGGAACTCGTCCTGGCCCCAGGAGCAGGGTTTAGCGCCACCGACTCGGGCTCTCACCAGGTCTGCGGCACAGGTGAGCGGGACGGACGGGGCGTGCCCGGGGGCGGGTTTCAAGGTGTGTCGGGAGGCGTGGCTGTTCATTGGTCCCAAGGATTGGCGTGCGGGGGGGCAGGGTGTGACTAGGGGCGGAGCTTAGGGTGGAGTTCCCCGCCTGCTTGGGGACGAAGAGCGTCTGGTGCAGGGCTTACGGACTTGCTGTCCTGGGCGTGGCCGCGGCGGGCACCACGAAGAGCTCAGGCAGCGCACGCCCACAGGGGTCCCTGTGCTCTTCCGCAACCCCGACCGCTTCTCCTGGCTCGACCCACACCTTTGGCGCTCCGGGGACGAGGC